AGGTGGCTCGGCTGGGGAGGTGGGCGGCGGGGCCCCAGAGGTGGTGGGCATCAGAGACCGCCGCCCGGAGCCAGAGCCACGCTGGGGAGCAGGGCAGATGCCTGGTGACCCCATAGAGCCAGCCATGCCCAGCGGTCAGGCGGGGGCGGGGTGGCGCTGGTGGTAAGAAGAGCGGTGGGCGGGGCCTCAGGAAGGGGAGGCGGGGCCACGATCCAGACACCAGGGCCCGTCTGAGTGTGGGCCCGGCGCCGTGGAGCCACTGGTGCCATGGTAAACCCGGTACTGCCTGGGTGGGGCAGAGATCCAAGCAGAGATGGGGAGGGCGTCCATTGAGAGGGGCCCAGGGAGGGGTTGTGCTCGTTTGAGGGGAGGAGACCTTTCAGGGGAAGGGACCACTGGGGGCAGGTGGGGGTGAGGAATCATGGGAGAGGCGAGAGAGTAAGTGGAGTGAGTCTGGTGCGGGGACAGGACTGGGGGTGGTTCTGGGTTGGGACGCAGGGTCCAGGCTGGGTAACTCCCCCCATCGCCAACAGAGGGACACTAGCAGCATTGGGTGGGGTCAGGGCTGGGCTAGCAGGGGGCTGCAGGTCGGGAGTGAGGGGCACTGGCAGAACTGGGGGCAGGGGGGGCAGGGCAGGGCTAGCAGGGGGCTGCGGGTCGGGAATGAGGGGCACCGGCAGAGCTGGGGGAGGGGCAGGGCTGGGCTAGCAGGGGGCTGTGGGTCGGGAGTGAGGGGCACCGGTAGAGCTGGGGACGGGGGGGGGGGTTGGGGGGGGGTGGGGGTTGGGGGGGAGGGGCGGCGGCTGGGGGGGGGCTGGGCTAGCAGGGGGCTGCGGGTTGGGAGTGAGGGGCACCGGCAGAGCTGGGGAGGGGGCAGGGCTGGGCTAGCAGGGGGCTGTGGGTCGGGAGTGAGGGGCACTGGCAGAACTGGGGGCAGGGGGGGCAGGGCAGGGCTAGCAGGGGGCTGTGGGTCGGGAATGAAGGGCACTGGTAGAACTGAGGGAGGGGGCAGGGCTGGGCTAGCAGGGGGCTGCGGGTTGGGAGTGAGGGGCACTGGTAGAACTGGGGGAGGGGGCAGGGCTGGGCTAGCAGGGGGCTGCAGGTCAGGATTGAGGGGCACCGGCAGAACTGGGGGGAGGGGACTCCAGAAATTACCCCAGAAAATGTACCCCGCGTGCTGGCCAGGGAAGGGAGCTGGGAGTGGGGCTGTGAAGCCAGAGCCCAGCTCAAGGATTCCAGGTCCCATTGGGCTCTCGGAACCGGTGTAGGGGGAGGGGGCTTGGCTCTGGCTCCATGGGCCACTGGCTTCCAAGGGGGCTGGCATGTGCTGTCTCCAGAGTGAGGAGGGAACAAGCAGCTGCAGCCTCCCAGACTCCACCACCTGCAATTAACGATCTCATCTTCATTAGACACCGTTACACTGTAATTACAGCACCCGCGCCCCCTGAAACCTGCCCGCTCCCTGCCACAGCGTGGGGCACTGCTCACGGGGAACAGCAGGGGGCTGCGCAGTGGGATCGAGGGGCACCGGCAGAGCTGTGGCAGGAGGGGAGCGGGGGGCTGCGCGTCGGGATTGAGGCGCCCTGGCAGAGCTGCTGTGAGAGGATAACCACCAGCATGGTACAGGTTGGAGGCCTTAGTGTGGGGATGGGTACATGGGGGATGATGGGTGTGTGGGGAGGGAGGGAAAGGGTGTGTCATGTGTGGAGGTGGATGGAGGCGTGGGGGGAGATGGGGGGAGGGATGGGTGTGGAGAGGGATGGGCAGGTGTGGGAGTGGGCAGTGGGATTCTGGGATGGGTGAGGGGGATTCGGGAGGCAGGGACAGAGTGTGTTGTGTGTGGAGCTGGATGGATGCCTCGGTAGGGGATGAGGGGGGCAGAGAGGGGGTGTGTCATGTATGGAGGTGGATGGAGGCATAGGGTGGGGGGAAGGAGGGATGGGAATGTGGGGGACGATGGGAGCGTGGGAAGGGAGGGAGGGATGGGCAGGCGTGGGAGTGGGCAGTGGGTTTGTGAGATGGGCGTGGAGGGGATTCGGGGAGGCAGAGGTGGGGTGTGTCGTGTGTGGGGGTGGATGGAAGCATGGGGCCGGGGGAGGGAGGAATGGGGGGTGTGCGGAGATGTGGATAATTCCCCTCCCCATAGCGCTGAGGACGGAGGCATCCCCCCACTGCCCCCGCCATGGCCCTCAGCTTCCACTTTGCCTCCCCCAGCCCTGCTCCCTGCCCCACAGCCCGACCCGGCTGGTGCCCACCTCATTGGGCCTGCAGCCTGGCGGTGAGGCGAAGGCACCACCTACTGGCCACAGGGAGGGTTGCACCCGTGGCCATTTCACTGCCTCCGGGCTCCGTGCGTTGGGGGGCAGGCGGGGTGCGTGCAGTTGCAGCATGAGTGGGGCCCGACCTAAGTCACGTCCATTTTGGTCGATTTCACAGTCATGGGATTTAAAAATAATAAATTTCATGATTTCAGCTATTTCGATCTGGACTGTCAGGGTGTCATTGTCGGGGTCCTGACCCTAAAGAAGTTGCGGGGGGGTCACGAGGTTATTGTGGGGGGGGGTTGCGGTATTGCTACCCTTACATCTGCCCTGCTGCTGACGGGGCACTGCCTACCGAGCTGGCTACCAGCCAACAGCCACCGCCCTCTGGCCCCCCTAAAATAACCTTGGGACCCCCCTGCAGCTCCCCTTTGGGTCAGGACCCCCTGTGAGAAACGCTGGTCTCCCCTGTGAAATCTGTATCTGGGCTCTCCCTCCTCCACCATCCAACCCGCCATGCCAGGCATCTGGAGCATGGGGGTGGGGGGAGCGCGCCAGGCCGAGGGGCCGGGAGCTCCTGCCTTCAGCAGAGTGAGACTCACTGGCAGGGCTGACAAGCTGTCAGGTGCGCGGGGATCCCCGGCCTCAGCCCCCGCTCCCCCTGGCCGGCTGGGGGGCCAAAGGGGAGCTGGGGAGGGAGCCTGGTGATGGATCCAATCGATCGCCGCTGCCCTGGGGCTGCTCACTCCGACAGCTCTGTGCAGCGGGGGGGTGCTGACCCCACCCCCTCGTCCCGCATGGCTGCCGGGCGCCTGCCTGTCAGTGGTGTGACAAGCCCCCCAACTGCCCCCCCCCGTTTGTCTGCAGTTTGTCTCTGTCTGTCCATCTGGTTTGGACAGCAGCCTCCTCGGGTGGCTGGGCGGGGGCCGGCTGGCTAGAGTGGGGGGTCACTGACGCTGAGGCTCCCCAGGCCTGATCCAAGCCCTGGAGTTTGGCCTGGTCTGGGTTAGACGGTGCCTGGTAGCAGAGTGTGTGCAGCTGTCTGTCCCCCTCCACACCCCTCTGTCCATCCCCCACCCCATCCATCCATCCCCTCTATTCATCTTCAAACACCCCCACCCATCCCTACTCCATCTATCCATCCACACCGACCTCATCCATCCATCTATCCATCCACATCCCTCTGTCCACCCCCCACCCCATCCATCCATCTATAAACACCCCCTCTCTATTAATTGTCAAACATCCCACCCATCCCCACTGACCCCATCCCTTCCTCCCTCCTTTCACACGCCTCGATCCATCCCTCCACCCACCCATCCCTCCATCCACACCCCTGTCCATCCCCCACTCCATCCATCCATCCCCTCTATTCACCTTCAAACACCCCCACCCATCCCTACCCCTCTATCCAACCCACCAACCCCATCCATCCATCCTTCCTTCCACACCCCTCTGTCCATCCCCTACCCCATCCATCCATCCCCGCTATTCATCTTCAAACATCCGCACACATCCCCACACCCTCTATCCATTTCCCCCTCCCCTCCCTCCTTCCACATACACCTCTTCTATCCATCCCCCGCACTCTCTATATCCATCTGCCTGTCCTGCACCTAACCATCTATTTAGCTACCCCACTCGTCCAGATTCGTTGTCCCAAGCCCAAGACTTGGCAAAGGGTAATAGTGCTTCCCCCACCCCTTTCCTCGCGACACCTCAGAGCGTTCATACACACAAAGGGATGAAGTCTCACAAACCCCAAGAGGTGGGTCCAGGTATCGATTCTTCCAGCATTTAAATCCAGCCACCTCCGGGGTGGGACATGGCAGCTGTGTAACAGTCACACAGCAGCTGTGCGTGGGGATAGTTCACCCAGCACTGAAATGCAGCTATGTCTGGGGAGTGGCACAGCAGGTGTGTAACAGCCACACAGTAACGTGCACAGGGCTAGCTCCATGCGGGGTGGGGCCTGGCATTCGCTGAACGGCCACACGGCAGACCAGGCGGGCAGCGAAGAAGAACCCTGGATCCGGCCCAGCCTCCAGGAGGGGGAAGTAGGGGAGGTGGAGGGGAGTTCCCTGAGCTCGGCTGGGTCAGGCACTCAGAGGAGAAGCCGGGGGGTGGATGCCGTGAGCCAGGAGGGGACACTCTGCTCTCTCAGCGCGGCACCAGGGCAGTGCTCTGCCAGTGCCCCTCGATCCCACCGCACAGCTCCCTCCCCCTGGCTTTAAATCTGGTCTGATGGCTGGCACCTCCAGGCGCCCCCTAGCGCCTGGCTCCCACCAACCCCTGCAGGAATGTAACGCCCAGTCCCATATGGCCCTATAAGGCCCAGGCACCGCCCCCTACAGCCCCCCACCCAGGCTCCCCCGCCTCTGCCTCATCTCCCCTCCTGATTGGTCAGACTCTCCTCCCCCTCCTCCTTCCTCTTTCGTCCAAGCGACCTGGCTGGTTGTTGGCCGCTGGTGTCCCCAAAGTCGGCGCGCGCGCGGATTGGCGGCGAGCAATGCGAGGCGGACGCGGATTGGTCGCATCCGGCTCCCGCCAGGGACGGGGAGGGGAAAGCCGATTGGCGACTGAGGGCAGGGGCGCGGCGCTCGGCAGGAAGTGAGCGGGCCGGGCGGGGATTGGTCCCGGCGCGAAGTGCGGGGATTGGCGCGTCGGTGTGGGGCGGAGGTGGGGATTGGCGGAGGCCGGCGGGTGACGCGCGCTGATTGGCCGGCTGTGCGCGCAGGCGGCGCGCGCGGGCGGCGGGGCCGCTTTGTGGCGCGCGCGGCGGCGGGTTCGGGTCCCGGCGGCGGCATGTCCCGCGTGTCGGTGCTGGGGGTGTCGGTGCTGGAGAACCCGAGCCCGTTCGGCCGCCCGCTGCGCTTCCAGGTGCAGTTCGAGTGCGGGGAGGCGCTGCCGCACGGTGAGTCCGGCCGGGAGCCCCCGACAACGGGGCACCCGGCTGCCGCCCCCCCCCCCGCCGGGACCCTTCCGGGTCCGGCCCTGGGACCTTTGAGGCCTGGGAGCCCCCCCGCCGCCATCAGCCCCTGCCCCCCCCCACCCCCATTCCGCCCCGGCCTGGAGCGGGCCCCCCACCGCGCACAGGCTGGGGGCGGGGCCTCGCGGGCGGGCGGGGAGTGGGGGCGGGGCAGATGCGCCGGGTTCAGGGACCCCGGACTCCTGGGTTCCGGACCGCCAGTCCCCTGGCCCGCCGCCGCTCGCTCGTGGCCGCAGCAGGCCGGGCGGCTCTTACCGGAGCGGGCAGGGGGCTGCGGGGGGGAGCGAGCCAAGGCCCAGACAGGAGCGGGGCGGGGCCGCGCTGGGGAAGCGGGCGGGAGCTGGAAGCCCCCCCCCGGCCCCCCAGCGCCCCGCCTCTGGCTCCACTCAGCGGGCTGCAGCGAGCTCTTGGGTGTCAAAATCACCCAGCTGAACTACCCCCATTAACCCTGCCAGCCCCGCCTCGCCCCTCGCCGGGGGGGGGGGGGTGAGACTCTTACCTGGCAGCCCCCAGGGAATTCTGCTTGCAAACTTCTGTTCCCTTGGTGCCAGTTTTTATCGACACCGCGGCTTAAATGGTACGTTATGCCCTGATGGGTGAGAAGCACGTTGTGCCCAGCATTTCTGAAAAGCGGACCACGCACAGCTTGATTCGGTGGCCAGAGAATCCTTCTGGTCCGGAGATGCCTCGGGGCAGAAAACTTTTGCCTTTTGCAGGGCATGGGTGTAGCCAGACTAATCTTCCTGGGCTGAATATTTTCCAGCAATAAACACGTGAATGAGACATTACTTAACACAGCGAAACGATGGCGCTGAAAGGTAGAATAGTGGCAGTGATGTTTCCAGTTCTTTGTCTGCCCTCCGCCGCTAAGATTTCCCATCCAAAAGACCCTAAACCCCCTCCTGCCCCTTCTTCTTAAAACAGCCCATCAAGGAAAACGGCCCTTAGACTGCAGTTTTAGAGCCATTGTATTAAGAGATCTGAGTGCTTCTGAGGCATCTCTGGGAGGCTGGCTCCTCTCTCTGAAGAAAGGAGCCCAGGGGTCGAAAAGAGACTTTCCAAAGGGTGTGAGGATAGTGTGAGATGTCACGCCGCAGAGCGGTGTTGTCACGAAAGCGTAGCTTGCAAAGCCCTTTATGGCCTAAGCCCTGAGCCTCTTAACTTCAGGGGGTGTCAAAGCTGTGGAGTGGCGGCAGCCAAATCTCTCTGCTGTCTTTGGGGCTGAGAAATTGGCATGTCTCATTGGCTTTACTGTTTGAAAATGGGCTGTTTGCGGAGTCTGAGCACAGCCCCGCTGAGTGGGGGCAGCAGGAATGCTGCCGCGTTGTTGGACCGTCCATCTTCTCCAAGGCGATCCTCCTGATACAGGCGGCATCACCCGCTGCATAGCCCGCCTCACTCTGCAGCTTGCCCTGTGCGGGGATCTTAAAACAGGACGGGCCATGCCACTCTGGGAAACCTGTCTGCGAACCAATCAGATAAGCTTTCCAGTGCACTGGGGGGAGGATCAGCTCTCAATCAGACTGAATTTCCTTGCTCTTAGGGGCTTGTGTGGGATCATCCCCCACTACTCTCTATTCTGGGAAGGGGGCTATAGCTCGTAGCAGTTTGAGGGTATATGCTGCAGTTTGTTCCTCAAGGAAGGCTTCCCTCTATTGGTAAGCTACTCTAGCCTATTATGTAATCTCTGGCTAATGCATCCCCTCTCTTGCACATTACACAGCTTCTGTATGTGAAAAGCTGCTGTTTCTGATTTGTTTTGAGAAACTACATATCCCCCTTCATCTGAACTCCCCCTGCTATGTGGCATTACTCTGCCTGGCAAAGGCCACCCGGATCCAGTCTCCTGGGAACTGTTTACATGTTACATAGCATGCTTCCCTCAGGTGTGGAAGTGAAAACTACCCTTCCACCCTCCCATATGCATACTTGTTCTAGCTTGATGTCTGTGCATGGGGGCATAGGTCTGGCATTGGCTCAGGCTTGGACATGCCTGAGTGCCTCTTAGGTTTGGGTACCAGGCTTTGGTAAAAGAAGGCAGATCCTGCTCGGAGCTGAAACTCATCCCTTGGAATGGACAGCTTGGCAACCCTAGTGCATGTGCTTGTATTCAGAGGAGCACTGATTATTAACTTGATTTAAAACCAGAGTTGAGCTTAATGTAATTAAGAGCACCCACACAGGAGGTAACATGACTCAGGACCCCATTGTGTCAGGCGCTGTACAAACAACAAAAAAGAAGGACCCAGCCCCAAAGAGCTTCCGATCTAAGTATCAGACAAGGAACTGCAGATGGAACCGGATAGACAGATGGGGGTTTGCAACGAAACCATTCTGGCTGTAACTGGTGCAGCCTTGAGTGCAGGCAATGCTTAAGATGATCCCTTGGCCCATAATCAGGAAATCTCTCATGAGCTTTAAAGAGCAGAGTCTGGCTCCCTTCCCACTGGGGCTGCGCCTGTCGGAGACTCTGGTCAGTGCTTTGGTCTCATCTCTTGCCAAAAGGTGGTCTCCCATCTCTTGTTGGTGGTCTACAGAATCTAACCTTCTGGGGTCCCCTTTGATCCCTATCCCTCGAAGAAATGGGTTGGCAGGAGGAAGGGAAGGAGCTTGCAGCTCAGAGGATGGTTTCATGTTTGAGGTGTTTGCTGGGGACTCAGGAGATCAGAATTCGGTTCTGGGCCATGCCACAGCGTCGGTTGAATCTTGGGCAAGTCACTTAAGCTTGCTGTGCCTCAGTGTCCCTGTAAAAGGGCATAATAACCCTTCCTTTATCTTGTCTGCTTTGTGGTGGTGTCCTAGCATGTCTGGGCAGTGCCCAGCACAAAGGGGTTGGTGGTTGTGAGACACTGATAATTAAGTTCTGGATGGGAAACCGATGGGGAACACAAGGGACAGGGTCAGACCATCACGTTGGTGTAAATCTGGGTGTTGTGCTCAGTTATGCTGGTGTAAATCCAGAGCAGAATCGGTTCCCCAGCATTACTCAGGGGCTGCTGCTGATTCTCACTGCGGTCCCCTTCCCTTTCAGACCTGGAGTGGAAAATCATCTATGTGGGCTCTGCGGAGAGCGAGGAGTATGACCAGGTGCTCGACTCTGTGCTGGTGGGGCCTGTCCCAGCTGGGAGGCACATGTTTGTGTTTGAGGTAAGAGGCATTAGTGAGAGACTTGGGCGGGGCTAGAGGGCCTGGTCTGGGGCTAGGAAGCAACTGGATAGGCGAAATGCAACCAAAGCAGCTTGGGACCCTTAATCTGTGGCAGTATTTTTGAGTGAGGAGGCAGGATGAATGGGCAACGCCTTATTATGGTGGTGAAGACCCTTCCGAGCAAGATGTCTGCAGAGAGCAATGTTAGCTAGCGGGAATCAGGAAGCCAATTGCTCACGAAAGCTTATGCTCAAATAAATTTGTTAGTCTCTAAGGTGCCACAAGTCCTCCTTTTCTTTTTGCGGATACAGACTAACACGACTGCTACTCTGAAACTTGTTTCCCTTTGTGTGTTCAGGGTTATTTTTGTCCTTCCTCTTAAGCATCAGGGATTGACCACAGCTGGAGATGGACTGTGGACAGGGTGGGCTGGTACCCTGAGGGAGTACAGAGAATTCTTTCTCAGATGCTTGGCTGGTGAGTCTTGCTCCTGTGCTCACAGTCACGCTGATCTTCAGGTTTGGGGTCAGGAGGAAATCTCCCACCCCAACCCTGCTGTCAGATTGGTAGGGACTTTGGTGGTTATTCGCCTTTCTCTACCGTGCGTAGCAGGGGTCCTTGCTCAGTTCGTCTGGTTAGATCTCACTAAATCAATTCCCAGTCATCGCTAGCACCTCAGTCCCTCCTGTTTTCTCCCTGTGGCATTCAACTGTTGGGTCTCCCATAGTTTGGTCTGATCTGGGCTGTTGGGCTTGGTGATAGAGAGAAGGTCATACAGGGTGATTTGGTTGTCCCTTCTGGCTTAAAAACTCGCCAATGTGACTGGCTTTCGGTGCCCCTCTGGCGTGCTCTTTGATCTCCTCCTGGGGCGGGGATGTTGCTTCCTTTCCAGGCCGAAGCCCCCAACCCCAGCCTGATCCCTGAGAGTGACGCGGTGGGGGTGACTGTGGTGCTCATCACCTGCACCTACCTGGGCCAGGAGTTCATCCGCGTGGGCTACTACGTCAACAACGAGTACACGGACCCTGAGCTGCGGGAGAACCCGCCCCTTAAGCCAGACTTCTCCCAGGTACGAGCAGCTGGCAGAGGGGGGCTCTTGACTCACACCCTGCCTATGGGGTCTTTGTAAGGGGCACCTCGGGCCTTCTGGGCAAGGAGGCTCTTGCCACTGCGGAGCCCTGGTCTGACCCAGTTCCTCACGGGGTTGGGGGGCTGGGATCAGGGAGCTCTCTGATGCTCTGAGCCCTAGTGCGGCATTTCAAGCTCTTGGTCCCTGCCCGGCCTGGGAAAGGGTGAGTCTCGAGGTCCCTGGCTAGGGGACTGGGAGTCAGTGCACCTGGGTCCCCTTCCTGGCTCTGCTACCGATTTACTTGTAGGTCCTTGCCCAGGTCGCTTCCCTGCTACCCTGTGCCTCGGTTTCCCCCTCTGTACAGCAGGGCTGCTGGTACTTTAGACCTTTACTAAGGGCTTGGCTACGCTTACAATTTAGAGCCCATTAAAGCAGCCCCAGGCGCCCTAACTCACGACCCATCCACACTGGCAAGGCACTTAGAGCGCCTGGACTCTGCAGCTGGAGCACTTCTGGTAATCCATCTCCATGAGAATCATAATGCTTGCTGTGCCTCGTTAAACACCCCAGCGTCCGTGTGAACAAGGTGTTGGATTACTGCACTCTGATCAGCCTCCAGAAAGTCCCATAATCACCTTAAGTCAAGTGGCCACTCTTGTCATTGTTTTGAACTTGGCTGTAGGAATGCGGATATGCCCTTTCAAAGCTCCATTTCTGACAGCCCGCTGCTTATCTTCTCTGAGACAATGTTGCTTGCTGTGATTGTGTGAGAGAGAGAGGCTGGGGGAGGGGGGTCTGCTGTTGTCTGAACTTACAAGACAGCATGCTGACATGCTCTCAGCCCCCTACAAATCCACGCTCTCTCCCCCTACATACACACACCATGCTCCCTGTCACACTCCACCCCCACCCCCATTTGAAAAGCACGTTGCAGCCACTTGCATGCTGGGATAGCTACCACATCACTGTTCTCTGTGGCATTGCAAGAGCTGCTAATGTGGCCATGCCAGTGTGCTTGAATCTGACAGTGTGGACACACTGCAGCGCTTTCCCTACTGCGCTCTCCAAGGGCTGGGTTAACTTGCAGCGCTCTACATCTGCAAGTGTAGCCATGCCCTTAGTTAAGGAAGAAAAGACTTGACTCCTGGTTATATCCCAGTGCTGTCCTGCCCTCCCATCTCAACTGGCTTAGGCCAGGGTACGCCCTGGGGGTGGGAAGGCCCCACTTCTTTCCCCATAGCATGAAATCCCAGCAAGGGCCCCTACAGCCAGCTGATTGACTGGAAATTTTCCAGCATCTCTCCCCCCATAGGGTTCTCCTACACAGGCTGGGGGGCTGTTAGGTGTCTCTAGCCCCCAGATTGCTGTATAACAAGCCCTGCAGCTGTCTGACTCCTCCTCCCCCTGCTTAGCTGCAGAGGAACATTCTGGCCTCCAACCCCCGTGTCACCCGCTTCCACATCAACTGGGACGGCCCCAGTGACCAGATGGAGGACATCGAGAACGTGGACCCGGAGCCCGAGGGCGTGCTGTCTGCCAGCTGCACCTCAGCCAAGGGGCCGGGCACTGCTCTCGGCATCCTGCCTGAGAACTCCATGGACTGCATGTGATCCGGGGCACGGCCAGACCTGGACACAGGAGTCCCAGGACACAGCCACTGCGTGGGGAAGGGGGTCTGACTGGCTTCAAGGGGGCTGCATCCAAGTACCACAGTCAGTGGAGAAACCTGGACATGTTCTAGTGGGGTAACTAAAGGGTAAACGCCTCTCCTTAACCAATGGGGTGTCTGACTGTGGCCCTTCCCCTTAGCCGATGGGCATTAGGGGATGATCTGTGAGGAGACTGCGGGCACCTGCTTTGCAGCTGGGCTAGGGAGGAATGGGAGCTGTAGGTCTGCTGGGCTCCTCCCCCACTTTCTCTGTCTCTGCACCAATCACTGCTGGCTCGGTAGGAATCACCCTTGACAAGCACTTAGTCCCACCCACCCTGCATCAGGCCACCAGTTCAGGGAGCTCCTGGGGCTTGGGTGGCTTGCCGGGAATGTGAGCCAGCTCCTTTGGCTTGTCTCTGGGAACCATCCCCACCTCTGCGCTGACCCAGCTCCGCTCCTTCCAGGGTGGCTGCAGCCATGACATGCACCTGCCTGGTGTCCTTGGCCACAGTTGAGGCGGACTCCCCGTCAGACCCCTCCTTCACTGGCTCTAGCTGGGCAGTCGTATGCTCTCCCCTCCAGCCCCATGCTGCCCACTGTGGCTTTACAGCGCTGCTGCTGCTCTGCTACCTGGGAGTTCCTTCTCCTGGGAGCATCCCAATAACTCTAGAGCAGCTCCCTCCAGCTGCAGGATTGAAATCCCCACCCCTGGGGGGCTTCAGACTGTCTGTCGTCCTAGCTGCGGCACATCATGGTTCTACCAGCTCCTCTGGGGCACAACTCGCTCCAGCATCTCTCCTGTGTACAGCCTTTCCTGGGGTGAAGGGGCACCAACATACAGAGCCCTTGTGATCACATAGCTTGACCTCGGGGGTGGGGGGTATGCACGGCACCGTGTGGCAAAGAGCTGTCTGATCGGCATTAGGGTGCGTTAGACTCAGCCCTTTCCTGATGGATCGACTTCCTTCCTTCCCCCTCAAGAAGAGCCTCTGATAACGCCGCTCTGGCAACACCTACTGGTCTATTGTGTTGTGTTAGGAAACCCGCTTCTGTTCCACTAGACTGATTCATCTGCAGCCTGATCCGGGATGGAGCATGCCCCCGCTCATCCGGCTGTGGGATGGTGATTCTATTCGCTTTCTAGAGTAAATGGCCAGTTACAACCCAGCCGGGATCTTGAGCCCTCTACCGGCCTGCATGGGGGAAAAGAGAGATTATTTGGGGGAATCGCTAGTTCAGTTCTGTTCCGAAGTGCCCTGTTCTGACCTTGTCCGTTTCCCTCTCTGATGTGGTAGGAGTACTCTGCATACATGGATTTTTTGTTGTTGTTTTTTAATGATTGAAAGTGTCTTAAGTCAACATAGGAATAAAGCTCTTGGAATGATTTGCTGTCTCATGCACTGGAGCAAACAGCGTGGCATGAGTGCGGGGCCTGGCAGCACGGCCTCACCCACTTCCTTCATAGTCACGGTGCTTCTGGCTGGGGGCTATGCCAGCAGCGTTCTTCAGAGGCGGCACGGTCCGATATGGTCTGTCAGCCGGTGAGTTGTGACGCTGGGGGTGGGGTCCTAAGACATTGACAAATCTTATTGCCATCTAAAGCAAAGAGAATCTCACTCCCTGACAACCCGCGTAGCTGTCCTCTTCAAGGTAAGTATCCTGCCAGCCTCTCCATGCACATGCAAGCTTAGTGTTATCATCACTGATGCTTTTTTTTTATTCTTTGTAGTCAACGTGAGACAGGGAGGGAGTCATGAAAATTTTTGACTTCAGGTAAGGGGTTATCAACCTGAAAAGTTTGAGAAATGGGTGTGGTGGATGGGACATGAGTCCTGGGGTCTATTCCTAGTCCTGCCACTGACTCTGTGTGAACTTCGCCAAGTCCCTTGCCCCTCTGTGCCTCAGTTTCCCCTCCCACTCTCTGTCTGTTTAGACTGTGAGCTCTGTGGGGCAGGGGCTGTCTCACACTCTCTGTGCAGCCTCTCAGTTGAGACTTCTAGGCTCCAGAATAATGCAGCCTGCAGAGGCCTGGGCATGCTTTATTCGTCAGCAGCCAAGCGTGTTCTGTCTGTCTCTCCCAGGTTACGTTTCAGGTCCTGCCTAGGTGGGAGAACTGGCAAAAGGCTCATCCCAAGAGGGAAAGGTGAGCTGGCGAGCTGTGTCCACACTGGTGTTGCTGCCAGCGGTGCAAACCTCAAGTATAGGGGTGTAAAGCAGTTGCCCAAATCATGTCGGGGGGGGGCGGACGGATTCTCCCTTAAAGCTGTGCTTTGTGCGGTTGTTAGTGCACAGGGAGTGTAAAAATGTTACTAAATTAACATACAGTGGTGGCGTAGCCATGTTGGTCCCAGGATATTAGAGAGACAAGGTGGGTGTGGTAATTTCTTTTATTAGATCATCTACTGTTGGTGAGAGAGACGAGCCTTTGAGCCACACGGCATCTAGAGCTCTGTGTGGCTCGAAAGCCTCTCTCTCTCTCACAGAAGCTGGCCCACTACAAGGTATTACTTCACCTACCTACCTTGTCTCACTAAATTAAAATGGCGATGACCCATCCCCAGCTCACATTGGTGTACATGACTGCCAGGTGCATGCTAGAAAGGTGCACCAGCTTAACTAGATTTTAAACGAGGGCATACCTCTAATGGCAAATTAAGCTATGCGTTTCCAACATTCTGGCGCTGGCTAAACCTGTCTGAGAGAGACTTAAACTGGTTTAAGGGTGTCTACGTTAGGGGTTTGCATCAGTTTAACCAGAGCACTTTTAAATCTAGATGGTCTGTGTCTGAACATCTTAAAATCTTGTTCAGTGTCTGTACAGCACCTGGCACAATTGAACAGTAAACAGCTGCAGCTTTCTAGTGCGTGGTCAGACATCATCTCATCCTGGGTATGTGATTCCAGCACAGTAATCAAGACCTCAAACCGTGTCAGACTCTTTGGTGTTTTGTAAACACCTGAACATCCATGACACCACCAGTGAGGAAGCAGCCTCCTTCTCAAGTGGCTCCGTCACAAACTTTCTTCTGATCTGCAATCAATACCAGGGGAAGCCCCAGCTGAGTGTTTCTGATTATTTCTAAGGCTTAAAAAAAACAAGCAGTAAAACTTCCAACTTCTCAAGCCTGACTTCTCCATCAAAAAAAAGAAACGCACCCTGATTTTATATGGATCCTTTCAAGGTCACCTTTGTATTAAAGCCCTAGCTGAGTCCAGAAAACGTGACTAAACTCTGTGCTAGAGGATTTTTTGGAACTTTCTCTGACGCTTTGCTTTAGCCTTGAAGCTGTAAAAGAAACTCTTTTTTGGGTGCCTGAGGGAGGATTTAGGGACAAGCGTCCATTCCCCCCCCCCCCTTTTTTTTCCTTCCTCGCACATCTTTCCAATCACACACGCCCCCACACCCAGGGATTTCCTGTTGCAATTAACAAGCTTGTTTCCCAGCAAGGGAGAGGACTGGTACCACCATCTATGCAGCAACAGACCACTAGCTGAGTGTATTAAAAAGGTTAGTCGGCTTCCTCTGAAGCATCGGATATCACGGCAGGAGCTGAGATGGGCTTAATTATCTACTCTGCTATAGGAACTAATGAATCACTCTGGCTACTGACAAACAATTGCTGTGGACCGAAAGAAGGCCTTGATCCTATGTATGCATCCTTCTGCCCAGATGGTGTCCCAGGGAAGTGTGTGCAAGGACTGAGGAAGGATAGACGAGTGGTTAAGACACTGGACTGGGACTCGGGAGATCAGATTCAGTTCCTGGATGTCAGTCTCCCTGTACACCTTGGGTAAAGCAGGATCAGGAGCTACCCCATGTCTAGCTAGTGTTGAGAGTGGCCCCTTTTACAGTGAAAGGTGAATTGCAAAGGGGAAAGCAGGTATTAACAGGTCCTCTCTGCTTGAGGCACGATATTATACCTCTGCCCTCTCGTGCCTGGGGGAGAATGTGAAACAGCAGATCCTCTCTTTGCCAGAGGACTCTGCCAAGGCCGGTGGAGACTTGAATGCTGATGGCTCGTGAGACTGCAGCTTGGGCAGTAGTTCTCCCAGCTGAGGTTGGGGGATGATCTAGGTGGGTGGGGAGCTCCTGCCTGCAAATCTTTACCCACCAATCTCTGCTTGGTTTGCTCCCTGTTGCAGCTCTTCTCCCATGCGATTGTGAGGGATGTAGACTGGCAGGGCACCCTACCTGCCTCCCTCCCTGCACCAATTGTTCACTCGAGCCAGGCCCCTAGAAGGTCCATGAATGAAGACGGGGCCAGAGTTGGTAGGAGTTTGTTCCCCATGCTGCCTCTACTGTGCTTTGCATCAGGCCTTCAGTGAGCAGCCGCCAGGAGCTACCAAGCCCTGACAAAGGAGGAAAATTGCCGCCTTTTGTTGCGTTTGTGGTTTGTTTTGATCTTGTCTAATGGGAATCATGCCGGTGGCGCCGAACCAGCCCTTCAGCACGGGAGGGGCGGCCTGAGCCCTTAATCAAATGCTTATTTACCAATCTGAGCCTAGTCCCCAACACTGCAATTTAGTTTGTCTGTGCCTTGGCAGGCAAGCAGCAGCCAGGAACTCCCGGCAAGGCAGGGAAAGTGCATTTCCCCTTCTTGGTGAGATCTCTGCTTGCATCTCTTCCTTTCCTGACTCCATTCGTGGGATCAGACCCATGGCCCATACAGCCCGTTTTCCTGTCCGGCCAGCATCAAGCTGCGTAAGAGGAAGGTGGATGTACCCTGCACTGACGGCATAACCAAAGCATCCTCTGAAGTTGCAAGACTTAGAGGCTAGCTCATGTCCCTGGGAGGATTTAGATCTCTTGTTTGCTGCTTAAATCTTCTCTGTTCTCGCTCTGGATGGTCTCATTAGCCACATAAATGTCTGATCTTTAAAGTAATAATAATCCAGCTAAGCTCTTGTGCTCAGTATCCAGTGGCAGTATGTTCCCCAGTTCATATGGGGAGGAATGGAGTATTTCCTTTAATCAGTTCTGAACTTGTCACCTTTCAGTACCACAGAACCTGGTGTTTAATCTCACCCTTTACTGTGCGAAAGGTGAACCACACGGAGTGACTGGCTTTACTGCCTCTTCTGTTTCTACTTTGGTTTTGCTTCCTGATCGTCAGGCAGCCAGAATGATCTTTCTCTTTACATGAGGAATGTGGGTTTTGTCTAACTTATTTTTCCTGAGAGGCTGTATAAATTAGAGAACTGCCAAGAATGTCAGATCACAGAAGCCATCCTAGGGCAGCCAGACAAGTTAAAAGAGGAAGTGACTTTTTCCACACTTGCTCAAAACTTTGTAATGCCTCTTTGACTCTACGGCCATATGGACACTTTGGGGGGAAAAGACGTCTCGGTTAGAATTTGACATGCAGTTCCATTTAGGGCCGTGAAATCACCACACTCACTCTAAAAAGAAAAGGAGTACTTGTGGCACCTTAAAGACTAACCAATTTATTTGAGCATGAGCTTTCGTGAGCTACAGCTCACTTCATCGGATGCATACTGTGGAAGCTGCAGAAAACATTATATACACACAGAGACCATGAAACAATACCCCCTCCCACCCCACTGTCCTGCTGGTAATAGCTTATCTAAAGTGATCATCAAATTGGGAGGACTTATCTCAGCAGTAGCAAGCAGCCACAAGAGTGGGAGAGCTGGGGACTGTTCCCAGCTGTGTGATCTTGGTCATGTCATTTCTGTGTTCCTGGTTCCCCACCCACCCTCTACCCTTTCTATTTAGATGGCAAGCTTTTCGGTCCAGGGATTCTGTCACTAGGTACATGCATAGAACCTAGCACAGTGAAGTGCTGATCTCAGTTGAGGCCTCAAGTTGTTCCTGCCGGATCACTAATGATAGTCCCAAGTTGAAAATCAAGGAGGAAAATTCCCTCATTTAACAGGGTTTGGGTACTCCAACTTTTCAGACTTCCTTCCTCCATTGTAAAGAAAGAGTGCCCCACTCTTTCCGGCAGGCAGCTCACTGTTAAGGGGTCAGTCTAAAAACACTGAACAGGTCTAGCCCTACAAAAATCAGACACTGCTGTGAGCCGGACGACAGATCACTTTGCAGTGTCAGGCTGTCTTGTTTTAGGAATAATGGAAACTGACTTGCTTCTTAGCCAGCAGTGTGGTGGTGCTCTGACATATAGGAGACCTGGCTACCATTCTCAGCACTGCTGCTGGCCGTCTGGGTGACCTTGGGCAAGTCATTGCCCTTCTGTGTCTGTTTCTCCATCTGTAAAATGGGGAAAACTTCCTTTGCAAAGTGCTTTGAGATCTATGGATGAAAGGTGCTATATAAGAGTGAGTTAGTGATATTTTATGTAGGTATCGTTAGATGTCTGAATCTACCTTAGGAACATAAGTGTAAAACTCCAATCTTACACACAGATTAGATAAAAACCTAAATTGCCTGGTTCTAACATAATATGACTTTGTTTCTTAGAATTCAGAACCCCACAAACAGAGAGAGACGAAGCAGGCTGCTCCCCAAGGCAGCAAGGCATAACTCGCCCGACCTCATTCTAGGCTGGTTTGTTCCAGACTGGCTGCTTGAACGCTTCCCTTTGGAGCCCTTAACCCTGCAAGCAGGACCAGGAACCCCACCCTGTTAAAATGACAGCTTGTAATTCCAAGTAGTCCTCCATACAATGTCACAGTTTCAGGGCAACGGTACCTGTATTCCCTCTTCTTGGCCAACCAAAGGCCCCTACTTTAGGTTTCTGGGTCCCAGCTGTCCCCTCTCTTAGGAGGACACCCACATTTCTCCCCCTTCTGACCAGAGGCTTCAAGGCTTCCCAGCTCCCTGCGTTATGCTGTACAGTCCTCAGCAACACAGACATCCCAAGAAGGCCACTGCCTTTGCTTTGCTTTCTCTCCGAGGCCTGAGACGAGTGCCTTGCCTACAGGTGCAAGTTGCCACTCACCTCCTTCAAAGCAAGCATGTTTATTCTTAAGGGAAAAACATTACAAAGAAAACATTAAAACAATAAAAGCATCTACACGCATGCTAAAAAGCTCACCAGAGGTCTCCCCAGCTCAGGTTTTAGTCCTTCAAAGCCCCACACCTGGGTTTTTCCAGTGGTTACAACTTCACCCATCTTAGATCAGGAACCCAGGCCGGGCTTATCAGCTGTTTCTTTACACAGGTTTGGCCTTTGCTCTTGGCCTTCTGTGACAGGTAATGTAGCAGATGCTGCCCCTTTCCTCACAGCATAGCTTCACCAAGCTGGGTTTTTGGATAACTGGAGTTGGAGAAATTTGCATTCATGTTCCCTTCTAGGGATTCTCCAGGAAATCCACTTAAAATGTATTGTCTCAACAGTCCGTAGTTGTCTGGCACATTTTTAATAGTCTTTTGAACTCCCCGGTCTCATATCTGTCACATCTGCCCCCGGAAAGGTTATATACAACCCCAGCCCCCAATAATACATAAACCTCTCAAGGATATTGCAGGAAATTGCCGTCTCTGTCTCACACCACATAAACAGCCACCCAGTCCCATAGGCTCTGAGCATCTTCCATGTAAAGTCCCTAGTGGGCTTCATGGGAGCTCTACCTCTTCTCCAGTGTCAGGGCAAAACTCAGGGCTATGGGGTTCTTTGTGTGTGATTTGTTGTATATTTTTAGGGGGGATAAATGTTGTCATTTGTGCAATGGTGATGCTAGACCAAGCTGCTTGCGGTAGGGGTGGTCTTTGTATGTCTAGCCTCCTAGGTGTTACTACACTACAGGTAATGGTGGGAAGGGCTCTGTTGAAGAGGAAGATTTAGGCCCCCAAAGCATAACCAATACGTACCTCAAGTTCTGCAGCCCATCTATCTTTAAAACCCCAGTGGCCTGCCCTCAGCTAATCGCACCTGTGTCTCTTAGATCAAACTGTCTTCTCAGAGGTGGTGCTGTTTGCCTTACTCTTGTCCCTCAAGGTGACCCACAAGGTCACACTTTCTTGTCAGTTCCACTTCCTTCCTGGAGCCCAGGCTGTGGTTGGCTGCCGGGACAAGCTGAAATCAGTGAGTTCGCTTTCATTCCAGCAGGCTTCCTAAAAACCCTTCTTGTATTGATGTTTCAAAACTGAATCAATTCAGAGCTTTTACAAAATCCCCTTTTGAGGTTAAACTGCCTAACTTCGACCTTCATTTCCTATTAAAGTCTGGGCCAAATCCCAGGCTGCTGTAAATCAGACATGGCTTCACTGGAACCTTTGGACCAGATCCTCAACTGCTGCGGGTCTACTGAAGTCAATGGAATTATGCAGCCTTACAGCAGCTGCTCTGGTTTGCTATCTTGATCAAAAAGTCGATTGCCTCCTAGGTCATGCTGTGTGCAATCAATTTTAGTTTAGTTCAGGGCATGTTTTTCCCAGGCTGCGAGCAGGGGAAGGAGTGAGGGAGAGAGCCATGTGGACATAACTTCACCTCACCTGCCAGCTGCACATCCCGTCTACCATCAAGCACAAAGTTTTGGTGGTCTGACTTTGCTTTTCAGTTATTATTTTGTGCCTGTCTCTTTCCTTTCTCCTGAGTGGGCGAGCGACCCGGCCCTGCGTTGGGAAGATGCAGCTTCTGTTAAATGGAGGAGTTGTTTTTAGAAAGCCCAGAGCACTAAGCAGAGTCAAGGGAAAAGTATTGCTAACTACAAGCATTCAAAAGGGTGAAATTGGCTTAAAAAAACACCCATGAGCTTCTTTAAAATAAAGAGGGGGGTGATTCTTGTTTTGCCTACTGTGGTTTTGCGGCTTTAGAGGTCATGTTTTTCAACCTTCTCTCTGCAGCATCGAAGGCTAGAAACTAAACGCTGAGTTTTTTGCATAATCCCACAAGTCCATGAGCAGAGGCTTTAAACAGCAACGAACCCGCTTGTCATGCTAAAATTCCAAGAGTTGGGGACTCTAAAATATTACAGTTTAAGCACTTCATTTAATATTGCAGTAGTAACTCCAGGCTGCAGCTGGAATCAAGGCCTTGGCAGTATGGGTGCTGCACTGACAGTGAGAGACATACGGTCCCTGCCCAGTGCTTTAACTATGGGACCAGCCTTTCTTGATGGAACGGTGGAGCTGGATTCTATTGTGATTCCCAGCAGCAGCCGCTATAGAGCTCTCCAGGGCATATGCGGAATTACAGCACCTAGCACAGGGGGGCCCAAATCTCAGTTGTAGCAGCTGCTACCATAAGGCTTTGCCCAGGCCGATCAGCTTGCTGGATTGGGAGCACCAGTGCAAATTTGTCCTCAGTGACACCTGTGTGGATTGAACAGCAATTCACGAGGTTGCCGATGTCTTAGTGAGGGAATCCCACAAGTGTTCTTTCCTTTGGGTGTGTTAAATCCCCATGCCTGGGGGGAGGGGTGTTTAGGGAGAGTGTGCTGCAGAGACGGGGCAGGGACTCTAAGGGGGGAATCCTATTTCTGTTTAAACAGATGCTTTCTCAAAACAGACAGGTGACAGCAGCTCCTGGGCAAAGGCTCCTGGATGAAGCTAGCTAAGTTTATACTTGGTTCAGGGGGTGGCGGATATATGTCTAGTGCCAGGGCTGCCTCCAGGCACCAGCTTTCCAAGCAAGTGCTTGGGGTGGCATTCAGAATGGGGCGGCAGTCCGTGTCCTTTGGCGGCGACGGCTTGGGGCGGCAAAATTGGTAGAGCCGCCCTGTCTAGTGCAATCTGAAATGGGGGTTCAGGCAAAGGGGGTGATCCTGCCCTGGGAAGTACCTGCCAGAGGATGCCATCCACATCACCTGAAAGACAAAGACAAATTGCTCTGTAGACAGGTTTGAGAGTCAGGTGGGGGGGACAGGGCTAGGGAAGTCTCTCCCCCTCCCACCCTTTCCCCCCTAGCTCATCACCCTGATGGTACATTGTGGCGTGTGGATGAAGAGCCCCTCTTTCCAATGTGCTGGGTTCTCTCCCCTGCACATCCAATCCTTAGAGCATTAGAATCTGTTGCAGCTCCCACCTAGTGGGACTTAGACTTGCTCAAGCTGTAGACAGAGGTTCTGAGTTTGGGACTGAGGCCCCACCAAGCTATTTATTTATTTGTACTAGAGTAGAACCTATGAGCCACTGACAGAGATTGGGGCCCCAATGGGCTGGGTGCTGCTGTGAGGGGCTCACGGTCTGAATAGACAGGGTGGGGGGAACACCTCCAGGGAGGAGAACCTGCCCCCCGGGGGCTGCACTGCAGCGGAAGCCCAGTTGCTGACTGGCCCCCAGTTGTGTGTCCGTTGAGGAATGATGCTTATTAAAACAGCAGGGTCATGGAGGCACATCCTAGGGGCAGGAGCTGGAGAGGCAGCAGATCTCCGCAGGGCAGGTAAAGCTAACAGCAGTTCCTCTTCCCAGGCCTAAGGTGTCAGCTGCTCAACCCCCTTCCAAGAAAGGCTGAGTGAAGGGGGAGGGGCCACCAGGGTGCCCCTGGGCAACACCCACAAATGAGTCACCCAGTGGACCCCTCCGCTGTAGGCTCCCGGTCAGCCTGAATGGCTCTGTCACTCCTACACTCCCTGTCCCCATGTCCCCCCACGATGCCTCCTAGCCCCACTTCCCTGTCCCGATACCACCCCAGGATGATTCCTGATCCCGCTGCCCATCCCCATTCCCGACCCAGGGTGGTTCCTAGGCTTCCTCCCTTGTCCCCACACCACCCCAGGGTGGTTCCTAGACCCCCTCCCCTGGCCCCATGCCACCCACCCCCATGGGTCTATATCTCTGTCCCTCTCTCCCCGGCCCCCTTCCTGTCTCCCCCGCGTTTAGCTCACAGGCCCCGCCCCTTTCCTCCCACGGCCCCGCCCCTCACGTTGAACATTCCTCCGAACGCTGTCTGGCCCGACGTTCTAAATATAGAACGCCGCGACCTCAGCCCTCTGAGGCCAATCAGCGCCCGGGGGCGGGGCTAAACATGGCCGTCGGCCAATGAAAGCGGCCGACCGAGGCGGACGGGCCCAGTCAGGGTCGGGGCGACGTCGAGGGAGCAGCGCGGAGCGTCGCGCGTCACGGCAGTCGGCCAATGGTGCGGCGGGATGCCCTGCTCGGCCAATGGGCGCCGGGCTCGCGCGGGCGGCTGGCGGCGGCGGCGGCCAATGGTGCGCCGGGCTGGGGCGGGGTCCGGAGCCCGAGGAGCCGCCGCCGCGGGGGGAGGGGAGGCGACACCGGTCTCGGCGGCTCCGCCTGGCGGCGGGGGGGGATCGGGGCCTGGCCGGGCCCAGCCGAGCCTCCTGCGGGCAGCGGGCGCCGGAGGGAGCAGCGGGGGCGGAGGGAGCCGCAGCCGGCCCCGCCCGGGCCCCAGCGCCGCGATGGGCAACGCGGCCACGGCCAAGAAGGGCGGCGAGCTGGAGAGCGGTGAGTGCGCGGGGGTCGCGGCCCCGGGGGGTCTGGCCGGGGGAGCAGCGAGCGGGGGGCGCGCGGGGCCCTGGGGCGGATGGGGCCCGGCGGAGGGATCGGGGCCCCCAGGGGGGGAAGCGCGGGGCCCTGGGGCGGATGGGGGCCCGGCGGAGGGATCGGGGCCCCCAGGGGATGGGGAAGCGCGGGGCCCTGGGGCGGATGGGGGCCCGGCGGAGGGATCGGGGCCCCCAGGGGATGGGGGAGTGTGGGGCCTGGGGCGGATGGGAGCTGCTGGGGGGCCCCGGGGTGGGGGAACTGGGGGATCGCGGTGAGTGGGGGGGAGCAGCAAGTGGGGGGAGCGTGGGGGTTTGGCGGAGGGATCGGGGCCCCCAGGGGATGGGGGAGCACGGGGCCCTGGGGCGGATGGGGGCCGATGGGGGACCCCTGGGGGGAGCAACGAGTGGGGCCTGGCTGGGGGAGCAGCAAGTGGGGGGAGCGCGGGGCCCTGGGGCGGATGGGGGGCCTCTGTGAGGGATCACGGGGAGTGGGGGGCTAGCCGGGGAGCGTGGGGCCCAGGGGAAGGAGTGCGGGGGATCGGGGGTGGGGTGGGGGGCGCGGTGAAGATGGGACCCACCTTGTGTTGGACAGTGCCAGGCCCGGGGTCGTGGGGGCTGCGGGGAGCTGCCTGGGCCTGGGGGAGCGGGGCTCAGCGGCTCTGGAGAAAGGAGGGTTGGGCCTGGTGAGCCCCGGCCGGGTGAGCGTGCAGAGGTCAGGCTGCTGCAGGGCGGTTGGGACCCCCGCCCCCTTCACCTGCCTGGGACACCCAGCAGCTCTGTGCTGCCCCGTCTGCATCTCCTCCCCTCCCCCCCCCCCCGGAGCCTATAGCCCTAGAGCCTCTATCATCTGTGTGCCTCCCCTGCCCTGTCCCTCCATGCCCCACACTGCTGCTGCCTGCGCCCCACCCACCGCACCTCATTGTGTGTCTGGGACACCCCTCTCCATTCACACCTGAGGTGTCTCTTTCTGGCCCTATGTCCCAGGGGAGGCCAGGTTGGGGCTGTGGGGACCCTAGGGCAGTGGTTCTCAACCTGTGGTCTGCGGACCCCTGGGGCTCCGCAGACTGTCTATAATTTCCAAAGGGGCCTGCACCACCATTCAAAAATGTTTAGGGGTCTGCAAATGAAAAAAGGTTGAGGACCACTGCCCTGGGGTATTGCACCCTGATCTCTCCAACCAGGTGTTGGACGCATTTGCAGGGGTGGTTTTGTTGGGGTCCCCCATTTTCCTTCACCTTCCCACTCCTACACATCCCCTCGTAACTGCTGTGTCCCATTCTCTTCCCCCCGCCTTCCCCCCCAGTCATGAGCTGAGAACGGGTACCTGACCCTTTTGCATTGCCTGGATAGAAGTCCCACTGCCTGCAGCCTGTCTGGCCAGTTCAGGGTGCACCAGCCCTGGGGGGTGTGGGTCTCCGCTCCCCAAAAGTTGCTAGTAAATGACTGTTTGCCGATCGGAGGTTGGTGCTGTAAAGGGAGAGGTGCAGCTGGCAGTATAAAATGGGACCATCCAGTGGAGTCTGACACCTCTGTGGGTGCTCTCACTGCTCCGCTCGCTAGATCTCTGTTCCACTCTGGGAAGCAGCATGGGGCTCAGGGTGGGAGGGGGAATCGGCCATAGATGGCTGGCTGGCTTCATGCTTTTATTGTCTGCTGGAGAATATGCTTCAGCCCTCAGAATACACCTAACTGGTCTAAGTCTCAAAATATTTTGTCTCAAGTGGATGAGGGGAGTGACCCCAAGCCTCTGGGTCATGATCTCCCTGCCGTTCCCATGTGACGTGGGAGCAGGGTCCAGAGGGGCACAAAGGAGTTAGATCTTGTTTTCTCATGATGTCCAGTTGCTGGTTACTTCACCGAGAGCCTCAAGTACCAAATGTGCATTGAAACTAACTTGCTTTTGTTGTGATTGCTCTTAGGCGGGTGTGACAGGCTGCACTCGGGCGCTGACAATAGAGCGCTGGCCCTTTTAAAAACAAAGGAAGGGTCCAGAGCTCAGGACAGACAGACAGACGCGCCCCCGTGGAAGATGGCAGGGTGGAGCTCAAAGTTGCTTTGCTCAGAGAGACTCTTCTGAACCCTCGGCTGGCTAAGGAGACGAGCCAATCGGACAGCTCCCAGGGGTAGCTTGTCTAGCAGCAGGGCAGAGCATTGGTGCTGAGGCAGGTAGCGTCATCGCTTTGCCGGCAGCTGAATCCCGGCGCCGCTCTGTGGTGCCGCGTAGCCAGAGCTGAGGCAGCCCGAGCTGTTGCCAGGAGGGAGCTCAGGAAAGAGTAAAAGGTTCTGTAAAAATGACCATCGGTGCCGTGATTTTTTCCTAAGGACGAAAATGATCTATTGAAAGCGAGCCTCGCAGGGACTTTTATTAGGCAGTTAGCTCTGTCTGAGAGCCTCCCTGATAGGTTTGTGCCACAGGCGAATCTCCTTTCACGCACACAGGGTTTGCCATGCCATTGATCTGTCTGGTTGTGTGCTCTTCCAGGAGACTGTTGGCTAGTGTGGCCTCCCTGGATCTGAGCAACGGGCCCATCTAACGCTGGCTTCCCTTGCCACGCTAAACCAATGGCTCATCCAGCCTGATATTTCCCCAACCCCTGCCCCCATCTCAGATCGAACCAGTCCCGGTCTCCCCTCCTCCCCACATATATGCACACTTCCTGCCATGCCGGATCCAACCAAAGGGCCCATCTAGTCTGGTGTCCGCCCCCCATCTGCAGTATCAAATCCATCTAACTGGCATCCCTGCCTCACTGGATCAGACCAATCTCCCCCCGCGCCCCCCCCAATCCTGCCATGTCGGATCAGACCATTGGGTCCATCTAGCCCCTTATCCAACCTTCAATTGAGTCCAATAGGTGATGTCTCTGAGGAGGCAAATACGCACTAGACCGCTGTCCCATGCCCCCACGCCGCCCTTCCTGGTGACTATATCTGTAGAGCAGTAGCACGTTGCAGCCTTGATCAGGGCCCCCCTTATGCTAGGAGCTTTGTACAACCATATAATAATCCCTGGCTCTTCAACATCTCTGTCCATTCATAGATCTCAATGCGCTTTACAAGGAGGTCAGATGGGGAAACTGAGGCACAGGCAGAGGAGGCGACTTGCCCACAGTTACCCAGCAGGCCAGTGGCAGAGCCGAGAATAGACCCCAGATGTCTTAAGCCCCAGCGCAGTGCCCTACCCGCTAGGCAGTATCTGTTACACGAGAGAGTCCTGTACAAACACACACATACCCTGCTGTTGGGTGAAGCCAAGACTTTGGGCGCTGGAGTGGAGCCCCAGTTAATGGCCAATAGAGAGTAATCCTGCAGCTGGGAAGGAATCTGGTGCCCACCTGCCGTGTCTTGCTGTCATCAATCCCACACGAGTCACATGCACTCTGCTGTGCCAGGAAGGTGGGTCTCCCTTGGCTGGGAGCCTTGTTTGGGGGCTGGTGATTTCAGGACCTACCTTCCCCGAGGCTCACTGGCCTCCTCCGTTTTCCAGGGGTCGGGGTGGTCGGAAGGCTGGAGGGGCCGTGGAATGGTTGCATCTTGCCAAGCCCTTGTGAGGGGACGAGGGCGTCTGTTGCGATCAGACCCGGAGCTGTCACCGCACCCAGCAGCGTATGTCAGTGTTAGGCCCCAGTGTCCGTAGGAGTGGGGGGTCAGTGGCCATTCACAAACGGGGAAGGAGGTTGGGGAAGACTGAGGCTACCAAGTGCAGTGATTTGCCTGAGGTCAAAGAGCAAGTTGGTGGCAGAGGCCAGTCCTAGTTGGCTCCTAGTTCTGCCCTTCTCTAACCCTTGGACCCCACTGCCCTCCTGTGGTTGGGAACAGAACCCAGGAGTTCTGACCCTCCACCTCATGCCCTGCTCTAACCCACTAGACCCAACTCTGTGCCCAGCAGTGACTTTTGAACTCTGGTAGCACCGTGCTGAGATCAGTCCCAGGTACTGCACAGGTGCAGTGAGAGGCCGTCCCTGCGCCAGGAACTTGCAGCCTGAATAGTCCAAGATGGGCAAAAAGTTGAGAAAAAGGAAGTATCATTCACCTTTTCCTGATGGGGAATTGAGGCACGGATACAACCCAGAGGTCCTGATTCCAGCCTCTCCCCTCTAGACCTCACCCCCTTCTCAGAGCTGGGGAAAGAACCCAGGCATCCTGGCTCCCAGCCCTTCCTGCTCCGACCACCAGACCTCCCTCTCAGAACTGGAGAGAGAACCCAGCGTCCTCCTGACTCCTGTTCCTCCACCTTAGCCACAAAATAACCCCTGATGGCGTGGTGGAGGGTCAGATCAGGGGAGCTTGATTGAAACCCACCCACCCTCCCTTCCCTTTAACTGGCGTTCGGAGCTCAGCTGGCTTTTCCTGCCTTGACTGCACTGTAGCCTAGCGGCGGTTCTGTGCATTGCGGAGCTACCGTGATCACCTTTACGTTCAGAGCCTGCAGGAAGTGTGTGCGAGAGAGAGAGACCTACCCTGGATTCAGCAGCGTCTTGGCCTCTGGCTGAAGCAGTACCATCAAAATGCCTGTGACTGATCCCACGGGTGACGTTCTATGAATGGGACAGAGAAAGTATATGGGGTGCTTCTGCGTAGGGTGTTGATATGGTCCTAATTATTGTAATGTCTGCACACCTCACATGTGAGTACAGTTACCTTCACAACATCTGTGTGGAAGGGGCGGTGCTGTTCTCCCTGCTTTATTGGCTCCGTCCTAGGGGGATTTTGGAGATGTTACAAAATGTCCCGTTCCGAAATCAGAGTTCGAAGTCAAACTCTTTGCGCGCTGGCCATGCGAAAGCTGACCTGGTAGCAGGTCAGCTGCAATGCTTGGCCTTCATTTTGACCTTTTAATGTTTTTTGTTACCTTTTCAGTATAAATTCCTGGTGAAATGACATGGTTTTGAACTAACGTGGAGCCGTTCAGAAATGTCGGAGCAGGGCGTTTGAGCAGCTTGGAAACGGTTTCCCAGTGAT